ATGTTTTAAAATAGAAATAAAAGAGAAAAATATCAACTATATTCAAATTAATCAAGAAATACAAAGTAAGACCATAGAAAAATCAGAAATGAACTAAAATGATTTTATAAAATTTTTGGTAATTTTTTAAAGTCAGAAATTGTTTTTAAAATTAAAAGAAATGAGTAAAATAAATCAAAAATGATAAAAAAAATAACAAATTCAGAAATAAAAAATAAATGAGGTCACCAATATTTGTGACAATATCATTGGATCATTCCATAATTTTTCCAAAATTTAAAAATGCATGAAAGTATTTTTAAACATTTAAAATAATTCAAATAAAGTGGAAATTTATAAAAAAAATATCAAAACACAAAATAAAATTGTGAAAAACAAAAATCAGAAAGAGAAAAATCAAAAATATTTTTCATAACTTTTTCAAATTTTTTGACTAAAAATGAATTTTCTATGATTTTTTTGAAATTTAAAACAATTAAATATAAAAATCAGAAAAGAAAAATAAAGTCAAAAATATGTGGACCATTGGATGAGAGTCAAAACGCATTAGTAATCAAATCCAAGGGATCTGACGCGCTGTGAATATCATGGTTATTAGTGAATAAAGCACTGAATCAAATGTAAATCAGAAATTCAAAAAAAAATCCAAATGGCGTTGTTTCATTGGTTGAAGGATGACACGTTGGTCATCTCCAACCTCCAGCCAGTCCCAAAACCAGGTTTCTCAATCTATAAAATTAGAGCACGAGATCTATGCCATTCGCTTCGTCTCTTCAAGACGAAGACAGCCACACCTTCGCGATAAATTTATATAAAATGTAGCTCAAACAATTTGTAAAGAAAGTTTTAAAAGGGGATTTGAAATTTCATGGTTAAAACAAGTTTCCAGATAAAAGTAAGTGTTGCAACTAGAACCAGAGCAATGAGAGCATCACAATGATATCAAAGTTTTGAAGAATTGATGAAGAAATCTACCTATTGAAGTTGAGTTGCAGAGCTCTGAAACTGGACTTCTATGGAGCAATATAGGGCATGATTCTTGAATGTAATTATATGGTTAGCTTTAGGGAAGATCAAGGAAGGTAAATTTATATAAAAATTGGATTGAAAAAGGCTTGAAAATAGATTTCGAAGTTGCAGAATTTTGAGTTATGGAACAAGTTTGGCAGGGTGATTCTGGCTATCCAAGCTTGAGGAAATGAATAGGGGATGACCCTCTATTTATAGGGAATCAAATGTAATGTCCAAGCGTGTGAAATGATGAAGTTTGGAGGGAAATCATGTGAAGTTGCAAACAAGAAAAGTGTGACTTCTAATTTGATCAAAACTCATCCAAAAAACTCGTTTTGTTGTGCTAATCACTTCTGGAAGTTCACTAAACATATTTAGAGGAAAAAACACACAGAAACAAAGTGTTTATAAGCTAAACCAATGATTTCAAATTCTGACTTTTGAAGAAACTTCAGTTCCAAGTTACCAAGTTCAAATCAATGGCATTCTCAGCTCAAGGGGTCTTAGGGCATGATTCTTGATGCTTTAGAAAGATGAGGTTACAAGATTTTCAATGTAAAAATAATGGAATCAAATGGATGCTTGAGATGAAAGTTGCATTGAGTCAAAGTTGGGAAAAAGAAGTTGACTTTCCATACTTAGAAATATTTCAAGTTTTTCTTCAAAAGTGACCTATAATGTTTTGCATCCAAACATGGCCTTCCACTTGAAATTTGCCCTTGACCAAAAAATATGGCATGAAATAGACCTCTTGAATGACATTTTGAAACTTGAACCATTCAAAATCTTTAAAAATTTAGAGAGTTATGAATTGTTGAAGTTGGAAAAAAATCATGAAATGACCTATAATCTTTTGTATCCTTAGGCCATCTTCCATCCATTTTATCACTTTGCACATAAAATAAGGCATAAATTTCACATCCTCAAGATCATAGTGGAAAAATAATGGGCTCTAGGTGATAAAAATTGACCAAGTTATGATCATTTGAAATCACACATGAGAAATTGGAGGTTCATCTAGAGGACTTGTAATCTTTCTTCATCATCAATTTTCTTCCACATGACAACTCCTTGAAAATTTTGAAGTGATTTGTTGATAACCCTTTGAATATAAGGATGTTTTTGGAATCAGTCAAAAGTACCAAAAGATGAGCAACATATGCTTCTTTGAAGTTCAAAATCCTGGCTCCTAGATCAAGAAAATGCTTTGAGGAACTTTGACAATTTTGAACAAACTTCTTGTACCAACACAAATTCTTTGTAAATATAAGTTGTTGAGGATGAAAATGATAACTCATATCCACCAAAACCACTTCCATATCTTGAGAATTGAGAGAAATATGCACTTTTGACCAATGGGAACAAAGCCTTGTCCAAGCATGACAACTTCTTCAATCAACCCCTTGTACTTTTGAATCAAATTTGATAACCTTGAAATGTGGTGAACCAAAATAACCTTGCCATGCCATTTCTTCCAAAACAAATCCAATGGTGAGGTTTGAACTTCTCAAGCTTTATTGACTAGGGCATGAAAATAAACTCATGAACCCATGGAGCAACTTGCTAAATGTCATTGCCTTTACCCACATTAGTAACAAGCAAGACAAACCAACATTGTATTTTATTAACTAAAAGGAAAAATTAAGACAAAATATTCATGACCACAAAAGAAAACAAGTCAAGGTGTTTGGTGATTCCACAAAGAGCAAAGCTAAAGGTAGGGAGGAGAATCAAGAACCCTGATGTGATCTTGTTGTGATTGAATCAATATGGTATGATGAAGGGATCTTAGGAGAAAAAATTGGGGTACAACAGCTCTTTTTCAGCCATTGCAAGTAAAGGGTCAGTTTTGTTGTCTCCAATGTTAACTCTTAAAAACGTCCTTCATGTTCCAAAGTTATCATGTAATTTAATATCCTTCAATAAATTAGCCCAATATATAAATTGTTAAAATAATTTTTTTTAGATCTCTTTATGTCTTTTAGGATTTGAACTCGGGGAAGATGATTGGCAGTGCTAAGGAGAGTAAAAGACTCTATTACCTTGACATTGGATCTGCATCACAACTACCTTCAAAAACAATAAGTTCATGCTTTGTGTCTTTTCTTGTTTTAAAAAATAAAGATGACAAAATTATGGTATAGCATTTAAGATTAGGCCATCCTAGTTTTCGTTACTTAAAATAAATTTTTTCCTAAGTTATTTCATAATAAGAACTTTTCTTTGTTTAAATGTGAAGCATGTGAGTTTGTAAAGAATCATTGTTCCCAATTTTCAATACAACCTTATAAACCATTAAAACATTTTTCTATTATAAATAGTGATGTTTGGGATCCTAACCGTATAAGTATACACACTCTCTCAAAAAAATTGTTTATCACATTTATAGATGACCATACAAGAGTATATTGGGTGTACTTGTTAAAGGGGAAATCATATGTTTGTCCGACTACAAATTTTTTTACAATGGTGCAGAATCAATTTCAAACAAATATTCAAGTCTTTAGAAGTGATAATGGCAAAGAATATTTTAATACTATCCTGGATGATTTTTTTCTAAAAATTAGGATTGTACATCAAAGTTCATGTCCTACTATTCCTCAACAAAATGGAGTTTCCGAAAGGAAAAATAGAAATTTATTGGAGGTTGATAGAGCTCTAGTTTTCTCGAATAAAGTACCAAACTATTTGTGGGGTGAAACTGTTTTAAGTATTGCATGTTTAATTAACATAATGCCCTCCAAAATTCTCAAAAATTTAAACTCCAATTGATACCTTCAAAGAATGTTTTCCTAGTACATGTGTCTTAAGTAATCTGACATTAAAAATATTTGGTTGCACAAATTTTTTTCATGTACATAAATATAATAGAAAACTTGAACCACATGCTATAAAGTGTGTTTTTGTCAGATACTCCCAAACTCAAAAAGGATATGAATATTTTGATCCAAAAAAAAAAAAGTTTTTCACTATGGACGTTACATTCTTTGAAAATAAACATTTTTTGATGACACTCTGTCATACCCTAAATTTGACCGCTCCTTTATTTCTACAGTTAAAAATATTTTCAACACTGATTTTATAATATTTTTTTTCTTTATAAATATTCTCTTTGAAACCTATTTAAAATAGAATGATTTATTTTATATCATTTGTATTTTTAAATAAATAAATATTTTCTCGTCTTCATGTACTTTGAATTGACTTTTTATTTTGAGGTTGCGGATTCGAATCTCTTATGATGCAGTTTTTAACATTTTTTATATTTCTTTTTTGTTACTAATTTTTTTTCTTTTTTTGGAGATCAGACTTTGGGCATTTCATTCATTTTGTGCTAGTTTTCTTTTCAAGTTTTTAAACCTAATTTAACTCTATAAATAAGGTCTTTCTTTCATTTTAGGCTAACTTTCTCTCCAAGTTTTTAAACCTAATTTAACTCTATAAATATGACTCATTATTATCCTAATTTTTCATCAACAATCGTTCACAATTTTCACATATCCATAGTTGATCCACAATTTTACATCACACCCACTTTAAACACTCAAAAACTCATACACAATTTCCTAAGTTGTTTTGTCCTTATCTGATATTAGAATTGTGTTTTCTTTTCCTGGTCAAACCCTCAGGCTCTCCCTCGTGCTTTTCCCACAATGGTAGCAGTGTCATAATAAACCTGTCTCTCTTCCTCCATTAATAACCATACACAAACTCTACAGACCACCTCAAAACCAAACAACAATAAAATCCAAGAACACAACTACATTCATAACTTCATGATTACAAAGTCACATAATTTGTTTTTTTTGCAGGAAAAAATAGAAGAAGCAACCACAAGGAATCAAAATGCAGGAAACATCGAGCAGTCGCTTCCACAAGACCAAGTCAATCTCGGCGGAACTGTCCATAATCTAACTAACTGCGATCCTCCGTTCAAAGACAACTCCATCGCACCACTCTCTTCAGCTTGCGAGTCCCTCGCCGACATCTTATCTCTGCCGCAAATCACCACAAATCCGCGAGCCACCCGCCAATTTGTACCACCCAGCGCCACATAACTCCAACAAATCCGCGAGATCACCTCCTTCACAAAGCCTCACCCACGCGACTGCACTCCCAAATCTGCAGAGTCGAACTTCGCTCGTCGCAACAACTCCACCACGAAACCAATATCCGGCAAAATCCTCCTTGAGCAGCCGTCCTCCATACTGCCCTCTGCGCACACTCCCTCTGCAACAATCTAGACCGCTACACCACGCGTCTGTTTTGATCCGTTTTTGCCATATCTGCGTCTGCATCTTGACTTAAAACTGGATTTGAAACAAAAAGAAATTGAGAAAGAGACGATATCTATAAGTCACGTGTGCTGCTACTTGTTCAACTTGTATGTATTTATTATTTACTTTCTTATTATTTTTTTAGAAAGAAAATTAGGTAGTAAGCATTGGGCCTTTGACACATTGGGCTTTAATCACTTTTACTAATTCATCACCCATTTGCTCTAATTACACCTCATTTTAGGTTTTAGTGATTTAATTTGTTTAATTTTATTAGGTTAATTAATTTTAGTTAATCTATTTAATTTTAGTTAATTTAATTAGTTTTAGTTAATATAATTAGCTTTTGATTAATTTAATTAGTTTTGATAAACTAGTTTAACTTTTTACTGATCAAGGAAAAATACCAAAAGTACAAAAATGTATCTTTAGTTTTGGATGAAATTAGTTTATGCGTGTTTGAGTAATTTTTTTAAATCAAATTAATTCAATATTTTACAAAGGTATTATACTATGCAATTCATCCGCGAGCGACACGTGACCAATATTTGGCCACGTGATGAGGAGAATATATCAGACTCCCCCGTCCTACGTCTCAAAATAGCTAACCAACAATTCAAACTTTTTTCAACTAATATAATCAAAAACTCAAGATTATTTTCAAAAAAGGATTAAGGAGAATTTCTTTTGAAATTAACCGCGAACTACGTCTACGCTCACACAATCTTTAACCCAGACAAGATTCAAGGATAAGCCCGAAAGCAATTATATGCAATCTTATAAAAACACCATCCAATACTATGAACTATGAAATGAGACTCTGATTCCTCCTAAGAGGATACATAGACATACGATTAAAATCATGGCGAGTTTCCCTAATAAAAAACTAAAACCCTATTTTCTAAAAATCGCGCTTCTAACCCTAGTATCCTTGAGAACAAGGTAGATGAGGGGTGCCTAACACCTTCCCTTCATCTAAAACCGAGTCAAAAACCTAAAATCTCTAACTTTTTAGAGTTATCCTTTATATTTCCTTCCTTGGATAAAAATTAAGGGTGACGAATCTATATTTTAAAACCAATTACAACAGTTGGCGACTCTGATGGGGACTCAATCCTAGGTTTAAAAGCCTTGTCCTTTGGTTTTAGGGTATTTAGGGTTTCTTATATTTTGGGTTTTGTATATTTGTTTAATTAATTGTTTATTTATTTTATTCATTTATTTATTGCTATTTTTATCATATTATTATATCTGTGGTGGGATTTAAATTTTGTAAAATTTTTTTCAAAAAACCCTTAGAAAGAAGGTTCGTCTATTAGCCAAAGGGGATACATCAACCCTATGAGTTTATGTGATGACTTTGCCTAGAGTCGGTGGAATTCAGCGAAGGAATACCTCTCAAGAGACATCCTCTTGGGAAGTAGGACTTTGGAATGACACCTATGAGTCTTTGTACAACCTTCAAACCAAAATCTTATGACAAGACCTTCCATGACCTAGATACGAAAGTTTCGGTCTGTAAAGAGGCTCCACTTAAGGGAGGACCTTGTGCCTTTCCCTCTAGTGTTATTCATGATACCCTTAAGGAAATCACCTTATGGGGAGGGCAGAAAATCCGTAGGCCGAAACTAGGAACCTACCAACTAAGGATACATTTTATAATCCCATTTCCATTATCTCTAAACCCACAAGGGTTACTTTTGGTATACTACAATCCCTAGCCTGTAGGGTTTATCTTTCGTAAGTCATAACCCCTAGCCCATAGGGATTCCTCAACTGCCCATTGGTCTATCACAATTCCTAGCCTGTTGGAATTCCTGTCCCTCTGTTATAATCCCTAGCCTGTAGGGATTCTTATTCGTCATTCTTTCTCCTCAAGGAGTTCCTTCCTGTCTCAATCTTTGAGTCAGTGTAGGACATCATCATTTCCATATCTACCATTAAACATGTATAAGGTACCCCTACGTCTACCCTCATACTACATCTGTATCGCATTGCATACTTATGAAACTTTTTTGCATACCCAAAAGCCAAAAAATATTTTTGCATACCCCATGCATTTACACACATCCATACATTTTTATCTCACGTATTTCCACCTTCTCTCTTATCCAACCATCATCCATATGAGTTGATTTCTTGGTACTCACAAATAACTCAAGAAAGTCTGAAACTGTGGAAAAAAGAGATTATCTATTGGAGACTCAATGGAGCTTGGTCCTACAAGTCTTATTGGAGAGAGAAGGCAGCCCTTCATCATGACAACTGCAAGCCTACGTAGCACCTCAAATACCATTACCATTGTTTATTCCTCTACATCAAGAGCAACGACCCTATCAATGAAATAGGTATGCCCAAGAAAAGTCAAGGGTCACCCCCATGCTTTGACAAGTCCAAGAACTACGAAGCATCTCCTAAAGTCAGGTGGATCAACTAAGAAGCTCTTCCATAGGATCACTAGACTTTATCAATTTTAAATTGTAATTTCCTAGTTTCTAAGTTGTATTTGGTATAAACTTGTATCTTTGGATTAATAATTCTAATAACTAATCATGTATGTTTTTGAAATCGATCCATTCGTATTCACTCTATCATCACTTTCCATTTCACTCTTCAATTTTCTTTAACAAACTTCAAGGGAGAATGACAAAAATTATATAACAAGAATTTGCTAACGTATGCTTTCAATGGTAAGACCGAGCTGATGATGTAAGGCATTGTTTCAATTTCTAAATAGTGGAGATATAAGGATTTAATCCGTAGTCGACCCCCTCGAGCCAGGAGTTGGAGTTTTTTCTATTTAAAAAAAAACTTTAATTTCAACCAGGGGCGGGGTAGTCTTTCAACTAATTCAGTAGTGCATTCAAATATCAAGAGAATCAAGCCATCTAAGCAAAGGTTCAAGCATAAGAAATATGAAGTTTGAATATTTTACAAAGTTCAGAATTATTGCATGAGAGAAGAAGTTGTTTAATAATTTGAAAGATTTAGTATTTAAAGCAATCAAGATACCTTTCCAAATGAATACCACTTTTCTGTTTGTAAAGCTTGAGAAGATGCAATGTATGACCATGCAACCATTGGAGAAAAGGTGTGAAGGATATCTTGAATCAAGTTCAGATTTTTCAAAAATTACAACGTGTAAATCGATTAGCATTAGATGTAAATTGATTGCACGGGTTTGTAACGTTCTTGTTTTCAAAAAATTTGAAGTGTAAATCGATTTACATGATGTGTTAATCGATTTACTAGTGTTAAAAAATTAACTCAGTTCAGTAATCAATCGATTTACACTCCATGTAAATCGATTGCTGCCAGGGGCAATCAGTTTTAAAAAAAAACATGTGTAAATCGATTTACATGATGTGTTAATCGATTTACATTAGTGAAAAACTTAGAATTTGCTTTAAACTTTAAGTGAAGTGTTGTGGCAAGTGTGTATATCATTTTTGAGCATTTCTAATCAATTTAGTTCAAATGAGAATTGATATACTTGTTTGCTTGCCATGATCCTTGAAGCTTTGAGTGAATGATGCTTTAAGTTAATTCCACTTCTTTTCCTTCTTGCCATAGTGCTTATTTGTCTTTCATCAAAACTAAAGTTGAGTCGAGGCTTGAGATTACAATGCGAATACAACATTATCCATAAAAAACATGCAACCAATCAAAACTTTTGAGTCGAACTACAATACTCTGATTCCTTAAAAGGGATACATAGGGATTTGGGTCGCGGGGCCCAGTAGAGCGAAAATTTGTAAATATTCCTACTTTTCCCCGTGTTTTATTCTGCATGCATTCCCTCTTTGCATTTTTTCCTTAGCTCGTAAGCTCTTGATTAGAATACACCCTTTGATTAGAACAATAAGGGTAGATCCTTTGGAGTACCACAAACGTGAGGGGTGATAACACCTTCCCCTTATGTAATCAACTCCTTTACCCATATCTCCCGGTTGCAAGATCGTGATTTCACCCTTCTCAGTTTTAGTCGATGTTTACCTTTCCCCTCCCCTGGGATGAAAAACGTTCGATGGTAACTTCATTGATATTATCTCGATGATTTGTTTAGCCAATTGTTTCAGCTGGTGACTTCACTGGGGACAAATTTACCAAATGCTGGTCCATCCCAGAGTCACTCCTAGCTCTTATTTTATTTTCCTTGGGTGTTTATTTCTATATGCTTTACAAGTTTGTTCATTTGTACATGTTTCTCTGAGCATATATTTGCATTGCATGTGTTATTGTCCTTGCATCATGGCATATTTATTTTTACAAAAAAAAAAGAAATGTAAAAAATGTGTATTTGTCTAAAAGAGTTAACTTGCATTTTCATTTCATTTCCCGGGTGTTTCAGAGTGGCCGTCTGTATCAAAAATAGAAAACTACCATGATGCCGTCAAGAGAGATACTAGGGGAATTTTCGGCTACAAGTTCGGCACTAGCAGTTGGCCTCGTTTGAAAGAGTTGAGTAAGGCGGTAGGTTTATCTGAATTTGTAAGTTTTCAGCAAATGGTATGGAGATCTTTTGTCGTTATTGGATGCTCAGGTGGATGACAGAGCCCTTAAAACTTTGTTTCAATTCTATGATCCGGAATTGTGATGTTTCACATTCCAAAATTATTAGCTAGCTCCGACCGTTGAGGAGTATTCTTATATTTTAGAGTGGACCATTTGAGGATACTCAGAGTACCCGTATGTGGGAAACAAAGCTCATGGATCTCACTTCTTTCGATATAACTCGGTACAGACACCGACTTGACAGTGTTGCAATTATCACTAGTTGTGGAAGTTTCCCCAACATCCCACTTATAGGGATGCAGGGAATGATTAAATACAACCATGTTCTCTTCCTATGCCAACTAGGGTATGCCATTCGGAGTCCTCCTAAGAGCAGTGAAATCGAAGAGTCTGTGTTTTGCAAGAAGGGAGAGGACCCTGAGATTCTACAGAGGGTAGAGATTGCTTGGGTTAAAATCTTCAGAAAAGGAAAAGATTTCTTCGAGAAGAAAAAGTTGATAGCCTAT